ATCACCTTCCAGCTGGGGAGGGTTCTTCATTCCGAGGGAAGGCTCTAAAACCCAGCTCTGAAAATGAAACCACACCCAACAGGGTTCACTGTTATCCATGATCTTATTGTGACTTTCTCTTCCACCCAAGAGGATCATCAGAGAAGGAAAGTGGCCTTGAACAAGAAAGTCCAAGGGGTAAAGGGAAACCAAGAAAGACATTTTGGTATTTTCTGTATTGTTGATTTTTCATGCATCACCCATTAATGATAAGATTGCCAGGAGGAAAAGGTGATCCCAACTGACAAACATATTTAAAAAACTTAGGATTAATAAACACAAATAACTTCCAGGTAGACAAGGCAAAGGCAAGGAAATCACACCGGATACAGGCTGTGTTCTGGGAGGGAGGAGATTCTAAAAATCAACATTAAATGAACATGTGAGAGAGGAGAATTGGATGCACTAAACATGGGATATTGATGAAATGATCATACAGATATGTATATAGCATGTATCTACCTTTTATTAAAAACATATGCCAAATATGCATAATGTATATGACAAATGACATAAATACATATATTTATATATAAAAATCTATTGGAAGAAATTACATAGGGATGTGGAAGATGTTGAATTAACATTATAGTCACTACCATTATAATCTGGTCCATTGAAATTAGAAAAAAATTTAGAAAAATAAGATGAATGAGAGAGGGAAGACATGGTGAAAAACAAATGCCCTATTAGCAGGGAGAAGTCACCAGGTAAAGGAGAATGAAACAAAAGGCATTCACTCTGTCCTCTTCCCTGGAGCCTGGTTAGTGCTCTGGACTCCTGGGGAAGCCAGCAGGTGAGAGTGTTGGAGCCAGCGGGGTGAGTCCTGACTGGGAGTGTGGGAATCCATGAAGAAGCAAAAGAGACATCAGTGGGAAGAAATCAGTTTAAATACTCGAAGTTATGAGGGCATGTGTCAGGGACTACGCATCCCCCGACACTCACTGAGCGTCTTCCGTGTGTCCTCTCCAGGGATCCAGATGGTGCTCGTTACATCACGTGACCCTCCCTCCTGAGGACATGGGTCTCCTTATTCCTCAGCTGGGGGCATCACTTGACAGATGAGCATCAGGCAGCCCCAGGGGATCCAGGAGGAGATATTGAGTGGGATGGAGAGTAGGATGAACACGACCCAGGGTTTTAAGGAAATCTGAGCAGAAGTGGATCCCTGTGAGAAGAAAATGGAGGACATGGCCGTGGACATGAGTGGAGATGATGAACTAAATGGAGTTTCATAAAAGAGACAGATTTATACACTTTCAATGAGAAGGTTGCCCTTTTATTCTTTTATTTCAAAACAAGGGGAGAAAACATAGCAAGAAGCAGGAGACTGACTTATGGGCCCAGGATTTGCACTTTTACTGAATGTGCCTAATAGGTTGTTACTGAAAATGCTCAATGGGGGAAAATTGACTTAAAAAGGGACGCTGACGGAGAGGAAGAAAACTGGCAAAATAGACTTTCTAAGAAAACACAGGAAGGGGGTCCCTAGAAAGTAGAGATCCTAACAGTTACTCCTCCTCAGATGAAACTGCATGTGAAGTCACTTCCTAAGTGCTGATTTACCAGAAAGGTAACAGAATTAGATAACATGTATTCATAGATTTATTGAGTAATTTTTATTGAATTAGCCCTTTGGAAATTATCATAATTAATGCTATCAACAATGATTGAATGTAGATATTATTTTTCAGGTCTCTCAGATGACAGAACTGAGATGTAAATGCCAACACCACAAATGACTTGGCCGAGGTGAATAATGAGTAAGGGTTAAACCCAGGACCTGAGAGCAGATTTGATCCTAAACCCCAGGCTCTTGCTCACCTCACTGGGCTGCAACATTGTGGATTTCTACCTGACTCTGAGGGAGCACGAAGAGACCCCATTGCCTCCTCCCCTCACAGCACCATGATCACCAACACCCGGATTAGAGCTTCCTGGTCCCCTTTCCTTCCCTACCTTGGAAGGGCCATTGCTTCCCAGGACCAGCGTTGGCTGTGAAGCTGCAGGTGGCGGAGGAAACGCCCCGCCTGGCTAAGCCATAGCCACAGTCAAACCCTTGATCCAGTTGCGGTCGCAGACAATTGGGCAACAGGGTTCTCGGCTCCAGCTGTGCCTGTGAAGCCTCCACCTCTGACAGGTGGTGGCTCAAGTCTCCACTCCAAGGTCTTTGGGGACAGGCCACCTGGGTGTGAGCTGAAAGGAGAAGGGGCTTCAGTAGGAACGCTTTCACTTTTCCCTTTGTTAATCATGCCCAGAACACCCATCTCTGGTGTCCCTGCCTCTGAGGTGAGCCACCCAGTGGCCCAGGCCACAAAGACAGACATCATGTAAATGGGGTGATGTCACTTCCTGTCTGTGCCTGGGGATGCTGAGATGGAAGGTACCCAGGCTGGATGTCACTGAAGTGAAAAACCCCCACTTCAGCCCAGAGGGCTTTGGATTGGCTAACAAGGCCAAGCCAATTATTCTGTTATTATTAATCTCCATCCTGCAGCCTAGAAAGAATGTTCTGGAGAGCCTTCAGAGCATAGAAAATGCTGTTTTTCTCAACACACAGGAGTATAAGAACAGGGAGGACTCAGAGCCTCTAGGTTTTGGGATGGAACCACAGAAAAGGGTTTTGGGACACTGTAGACCAGCAGTCTCCAAACTTTTGTGCCCCAGGGACTGGTTTTGTGGAAGACAATTTTTCCTTGGTCCAGGGGTGGGGGATGTGAAAAGAGGGAAGGATCATTTCTGAATGAAACTGTTACACCTCAGATCATCAGACATTAATTAAATTCTCATAAGGAGTGCACAACCTAGATCCCTTTCATGCACAGTTCACAATAGGGTTTGTGCTTCTATGAGAATCTAATGCCTCCGCTGATCTGACAGGAGGCGGGGCTCAGGCTGGAATGCTGGCTTGCCGGCTGCTTATATCCTGCTGTGTGGCCTGGTGCCTAACAGGCCCAGGACAGGTAGCTGACCACAGCCCCGGGAGCTTGGGGCCCCCTGCAATAGACCAAATACTACATGAGGTGAACTTTTTAGGGTGCTGGAACATTTTGAATTTCCATTGCCTATAATGGTTTTACCACCTACCCACACATATACATCTTGTTGCCATATAGGTGGGTGTCCGCAGCCATAAGCAATGTTGTAGAGGGACCAGTCACCTCACGGACACTTAGGGGCCACAGGTATCACCGATCAGCGTGTGTGGTTCTGTAGGGAGATAACACCGAGCACAGTCCTCATCTTACCCGCTCCTCCAGTGGGGTCCGGGCAGCGCCCCTCATAAAAATTATCGCTATTTCCACAGGAAGAGGAAATCACACTCCCAGAAAGTAGACTAAATGCATTGTGATTTGCAGTGGTTTCCTTTTTCTTTTTTTTTTTCCAAGACCGAATCGCGCTCTGTCGCCCAGGCTGGAGTGCAGTGGCGCCATCTCGGCTCACTGCAACGTGATTCTCCTGCCTCAGCCTCCCAAGTAGCTGGGATTACACAGACGCACCGCCCCCTCCAGTTAATTTTTGTAGTTTTTTTAGTAGAGATGGGGTTTCACCATGTTGGCCAGGGTGGTCTCAAACTCCTGACCTCAGGTAATCTGTCTGCCTTGGCCTTCGACGTGCTGGGATTACAAGCGTAAGCCACCGCGCCCGGTGGCTTTTTAAGATGTTTGGAAGAGTTCAGCTGTGAGGCCATTTGGTCTTGGGCTTCTGTTTGTTGGGAGGTTCTTCAGTCCTTTTATTTGTTGTTGGTCGTTCAGGCTTTCGGTTTCTTCTTGATTTGATCCTAGTAGGTTGTATGTTTCTAAGAATTTATCCATTTACTCTAGGTTATCCAGTTTGACGGTATAGAGCTGTTAATAATAGTTTCTTATGATCCTTTTTACTTGTGAGGCCTCGGTTGTAATGCCTCCACTTTCATTTCAGATGTTATTTATTTGAGTCTTCTGTATTTTTTTCTTAGTTATTTTAGCCAAGTGTTTGTTAATTTTACTTTTTCCAGAAAAACAACTTGGGTGTGAGAGGCCTACGTTGGATCAATGGCGGCCAGTAGTTCCCAATCAGCCTGGGAAGAATAGTAAGACGTTGTCTCTCCTAAAAAGAGAAAGAGAAAGAGAAAGCAAAAGAAAAAGGAAAAGGAAACAAAAAACAAAAAACCAACAACTCAGTTTTATTTTTCTGTAGTATTTCTATTCTTCAGTTGATTGACTTCTGCATTGATTTTTGTTTCCTTTCTTTAGTGAATTTTGAATTTGTTTTGTTGTTGTTTTTTCCTGGTTTCTTGAGGTGTAATGGTGTAATGTATATTTGAAGTATTTCTTCTTTTTTAATGTATGCATTTATGGTTGTAAACTTGACTCTTAGAGCTATTTTTGCTGTTCCAAAGATTTTGTTATGTTTGCTTTCACTGTTGTTTGCCTCAACATATTTTCAAATTTCCCTTTTGATTTGTTCTTTGATCAATCAGTTGTTCAGAGGCATGTTTAATTTCCATGTATTGTTGAATTTTCCGGTTTTCCTTGTGTAGTTAATTTTTAGTTTCATACCATTGTGGTCAGAAAAGATAACTGAACAGATTGGAATCCTTGTTAATTTATCTAAGATGTACTTTTCATTATTTTAACTGATGTATAATAGTTGTTCACATTTTGGGGATACACATGATATTCTGGTAAATGTATACAATTTGTAATGATCAAATCAGTGTGAGTAGTATATCTGTCACCTCAAAACTTTATCTTTTCTTTATGTTAGGAATATCCCAATTCTTCTCTTCTAGTTATTTAAAAATATTCAGTAACATATTTTGAATTATAGTCTCCCTAATATGCTATCAAATACTAGAACTTATTCCTTCTATTTAACTATATTTTATATGCATTAACCAGTATCTTTTCTTCCTTCTCCCCTATCTCCTTCACAGCCTCTGGTAACCACTAATTTTTCTATGTGAAATGACACATGAATTCAATTTTTTCTACTTGTTTATTTTTATATGGTTACAAATATGTCACATCCATTGCTTAAAAAGAAAATTCTCAATCATTTGTTGAAATATTATGCATCATTTTAAAATACATTGCTTTTCCAATATATCTGTTCTCAATATATGTATTGGTTTATATTTGGACTCTATTTTCTTTTGATCTAATCACATGCCAAAGCATTCTGTTGTGGCCATTACAACTCTATGATTGTTCTTTAAATCAGTTGGAGCTAGCTGTCCAATTTTGTTCTTCGTTATACAGGCATTTTGGTTGTGCCAGTTCATCTTAATTTTAGAATCAACTGACCATTTTCTACCAATGATGCATGCTGAAATTTTGAGTTGGATTGCATTGAATTCATAGATCAAATTAGGGGAAATGAACATCTCAGCAATATTCTTACACATGAACAAGCCATATTTTTCTAGTTATTAGACCTGCACTATGTTCTCTGTGAAATATGCTCTAATTTTCAGTCATATTCATATTTATGGATTTTATACACTTGACATTATCATAAATGGTATTCCTTTTACATTTAAATTCTGCCGTGCAATTGCATAAATACAATTTATTTTTGCATATTGATCTTATATCCTGCTAGAAACAAATGCTTTTCGGATTCAGGTTTGATTGGCCAATGGCAATATCTTAGGAAACTTGCATATTTACCAGGTATGAAGAATCTTTCTCATTTCAGTTGGAACTTTATCACCAGCCCAAGGGAGAGGAAAGTCCTAACCCATATCAAGTTCTGAGGTTGGGAAGAGTTTGTACTTTGTAGACAAATGCATGTGAAATGTTCTGTATGTTCACCGATAAGTTTTCCTTAAGATTGTTCATGCAGTTGATAAGGCTGCCACTTGCACTTGTGTTTAGCTGCAATGCTATAGTTGTAAAATTTAGAAGCCAACGTTCTCCCTTAGTTTAAAATGTAATATTGAAGAATCTACTCCAGCATTATGTAGTGCCAGAAACTTTGGGATGATAATGCAATGATATGTCCAGCAAATATGAGTTTGTACCTGATCCTTATTAGTCTTACTTCTGATGTGATCTACTATAAAATGAGACCACTGAGAGCTTTAAAATAATTAATAATGCCAAGCTGAGGCGGTTAGTTTGTGGGATATTCAGTAGCCATAGGAAACAGTAGTTCCTACTCTGTAACTCAAGTGGGAGTCCACTGTTCAGTATGTCACCATCAAGACCCTGATCTGCAGTGGAATTTGCAGCCCCCTGCTGTGTCAGCTTCATTACTTCAAGGGAGGGTGAAAGCCTTCAGTTCCTTAGGTCAGAGCTGACACATGGAGCACATTTGGTACCTCTTCAGTTACTGACCTTTATGCCCAATCATGTCAGGCTTGCTCACCTGAGTGATTCACAAGATCACATTCCCAATGCATCGGATCACTGTGTCACACACACACAAAAGCATTTATTTGTCATTATGTATCTCTCCTGAATTTCCACCTTGATAGGCAACATGGCTCACAAACAGCTTTAAATTTGGTTTCTCAAATGTCTAATGGTTTACAAAAGTCCAGTTACTCAGATGAATTTATCTTACAGTCTGGTTGTCTATTGTTCCATGCTGTGCCTCTGTGACATAAACCAAGAGTCAGTATGTAAAAAGATTTATTTCCACTCGTTTATAACCAACCAATAAATAGTATGCATCTTATATATAGTTCTGTGCATTGGGTTGCCAGTCTCCTTCCTTCTTTTACCTGATTTTTGTTGGAAGTGGAGATGATGTAATATTATGGGTCACTTCTATTAGCGTCCCTGGACTACAGTTCTACTATCTACTTTTTAAGCTGTTTTACCTTGTCATTATAAGATCTGCATATTTGTGAGCATCATTTATGTTATTAATAGTTAACATCTATGGTAGTCACTTTTTTGGTTAGGTCAGAGACTAAAATCTGAAAATTAGAAATTCATTCTTTATTTCAGGTGTGTGTGCTGTTGTGTTGATCCCTCTCCTGTCTCAGAAACGTCATTGTAGGCCCAAGTCGATGAAGGGACAGACTGTGAAAGAATGGATGCAGAGCGTGGACTAACTATGTAGTGCCCACTGAATGAAAAACTTTGCTAAAGTTGCTTTTGTGCTATTGTCTAACATTCCTCTGAGTTACCTCGTCTGCTGCTTAAAAATCCCAAAGCAGTTTCTTCACCGTCTTGTGGCCATTGTTATAAACTCCACTCTGCTCCTCCTATGTCAACTACCACAGTCTGTTTCATTGCATGGCCCTAAAGGCAGAGCCATGTTTCCAACTTTAAGTGCACTAAGGGTATCCTGTTTCTGCAAAACCAATGGATGTCAGTGGTTCTCTTAGGGTTTTTTTGGTTTTTGTGTTTTTTTGACATATAAGGCCATAATTGGAGTAATGTGAAAAATATTTTTTCCTCCGGAAGTTATTAGATGCTGCTATATACAATATATTTTCTATCATTACACTGTAATGTATCCCAGCTATGCATTTTATATTTCCTAAAACTTCACTTCTGAGAAGGCCCTTCACGTGTTTTTAAAAATTCATGGCCCACCCAGCAGCATTACTAAGTCTTTTGGAGTCTAGCCTTATGGTCTTTCTGTTGATTTTCCCACTGTCAACATGTAATCTGTGAAATGAAACAAAGGGAGGGGATCCAGGCTGAGACTTGGTGACACTCAATTCATCGACCCTTTCACCAGAATGCACCTGTGGGTGTCGGCTACTGATTTTCTCATCTCCAGGCAACTCAGGCTGAGCTGGCAGCAGAAATCTCAAGCTCTTGTCACTAAGGACTCTTCTGGGCTTCCTCTGTATCACCCACCGTAACTAGCATAACGCTTTACCCACAGGGGCTCAGCAGATGCATTTGTTAAGCTCAACAAATTGAGAATCCAAGTTGTCTCGATAAGCAGATATATTATAGTGTAGAGAACTGGATAGGGTAAGCAGAGGAACAAAACAGGTTGTCATTTTGTTGTTGTTGTTGTTGTTTCTAATAGTACAAAAATTGTGACTGGCAACTGCTGGGGAATCCTAAGGCAGCACTCTAGTCCCTGACCACCCCCTACATTCTCACTACATTCATGGAAGCTGCTTTACTCCTTTCCGCCTTAGTTATTTAATCTATAACTAGAAAATAAAATACACAATTTCTAAATGCTAGTACTATAACTGATACAGAATTTATTTTGGACACAGGTGACTCTTGAAGTCTGAAAAGCATTTAAATTACCAGACAGAGGCTGGGCGTGGTGGCTCACACCTGTAATCCCAGCACTTTGGGAGGCCGAGGTGGGTGGATCACCTGAGGTCAGGAGTTCGAAACCAGCCTGGCCAACATGGTGGAAGCCCGTCTCTACTGAAAATATAGAAAATTAGCCAGGCGTAGTGGCATACGCCTATAATCCCAGCTACTCAGGAGGCTGAGGCAAGAGAATCACTTGAACCTGGAGTCAGAGGTTACAGTGAGCTGAGATCATTCCATTGCACTCCAGCCTGGCAAAAAGAGTGAAACTCCATCACCATATACATATATATATATAAATAAAGCCAGACAGAAGATAGATCATCTGTGATTACTATGTCAAGGACAATTTTAGAATACTTGTTAAACTCACCTCTTTCTTTTCACAGCTGGCCAGGACATAGTCAGTATCTACTGATACCTTGAATACCTTGGCTGTGTTAACTGTTTTGACCCAACATGGAGCCAAGGTGTTGGTTGTGCCTTGAGATGCTGACATCTGGCTGAAGTCCAGGGTCACTGGCCCAGGACAGGTCATTCAGCTGTTTGAAAAAAAAAAAGCAGAAAAGAGACCAGGGCATCCACTGGGGTCATCTCCATGCAGCATGGGCCACTGGTTCCAATGAACCCATCATCACTACACTTCTCAGGAATCGCTGGTCACTAGACTGAGAGTTCTGTGACAGCTGAGATCGTGTCTTACTGATCTCTGTGTTCGTGGTGCCCAGCTCAGGGTCCGGCACTGAGGGAGTTCTCAGGAGAGTGTTCATCAGTTATTGAATGAAACCGATTGCAAACCTCCTCTCACCTGCATTCCTGTCCCAAATGTCCTGTCAGGGGTGCTGAGATTTCTCCCAGGATGCAGCAAATCCCTTTCCTTAGACTGGCCCTTGCCTTACACCATTCATGCCCCAGGATCCCTCTCTGTGGGACATTGGAGGAAAATGAGTCTGTTCTGAGGAATTCCTCCTGTGGCTCCCCCTGTCATTAGGAGCAATGTCTGCACCTAAACTCCCATTCTCTGAGTTGCCACAACTCCCCGATGTGGGGGAACTTCCATATTTTCTTAAAATGCTATGTTTGTGTTCTTTCTCTCATGAGCTTGAGTCCCTTTGGGGAGACATTAATATCTGAATCCCAAGTGTTTAACACAGTGTAAAGAAAATTAAACATCCAATAAATATTTATGAGATACCATTTGGAAACCTCTTTCAACTGTAAGTACAGAAGAATATTATAAGTATCACTGCATTTTATACTAGCAAGGGACACTTACTCTGGCACCTGACCTAGGGCAGAGCTTTTTAATGTAAGAATGGATGTCTCCAACCCTTCTCCCAGCATGGTTATTCCCTCTAACCCACACCGACCTGAAGAGCATCCATTGCTACCGCAGCCCCAAGGTCGAGGCTCCTGGGTCTGGGGCGGAGGCTCATGGTCACATCTTCCCCCTCTTGGAGTTGCTGCTGCCCCTCACTATAAACCAGCTCTGATCCTCCCTGTGGCTCTCCCTGGCCAGGGGCAGGAGACTCCTGTGGAGTAAGTTTCTCTCAGTCCCACTGCTCAGCTCGTGCTGCTCCTTGAGAGTTTGGATGATGAGAGGCATTGACCATTTCCCCTGAGGCTTCTGTCCCAATTTGTCCTTATTCCCCCCTTCTTTGGTTTTCATTTACCAATGGCTTATCCTTTGTGGGTTGTTCTCATCCCCTAAACCTGCTGACTTTCTTTCTTTCATCTGTTCCCTCAGTTCTGGGCTTCCAGGGTGTGGACTCAGCTCAGGCCCCTGCAGGAGACACAGAGTCAGGTCTCAGCTGCCGGTGCTGTGCGGCGTTAAAAACCATCTCAGTTCCTCAGAGACTCAGAGAAAACACAGCAGGAAGGGACCTCAGAGAGGAGCAATAAGCCCCTACCTTACTGACAAGGAAAGTGAAGCCAAGAAAGACTAAGACTCTCCCAGGCTCCGTCACCACATGGTGGCAGCAGATCGACCACACAAGCCTTGGCCTCAGCCTCCAGGTCCAAAGCACCTAACTCACCCTCCAGGAACTCACTGCTGCGTTTCAGAAAACTCTGGATGAAAAACAGCAATTTCCACTGTGAAAACAAATAAAAGGGCATTTCACTGGACAAACCCTTTATCACCGTTCTGTAGTTCTAGTATTTATACTCAATCAGTTGTCATTCGCTGGCTGGTAGACTGGGGCAGGGAGGACATAAAGATTAAATAATGCTTAGCACAAGCCTGCTTTCCTGGCCTGGGATCTCAGCTCCACCATTCTTCAGGGAGTTTCCTCTGCTGTAACTGCTGGAGAGTCTCAGCCCTCACGTGGGTCATTTCTCCATGACGATACCTGTTATTTTCTTCCTCTCTTGGAGATAAGAGAGGGCAGAGATTGGTTCTGCATCTCCACAATTCTAGGTTTTTTCCTAAACCAGCCAGGTCAGCTGAAAGCAATCATGACAGACAGGTCAGGTCAGTGAAGAGGGTCCAAGGGGAGCAGGGGTTCCAAGGACAGGCCCTCATGGAGATGGTCAGGATCATGACATGGGCAACATTTGACTAATTCTGCTGGGGATGATGTGCCAAGGATTAAGGGGAGGATGCTGCCATAAGGAGAAAGGGGAAGAACCAAAGGAGTAGGAGAAGAAGGAAAATGAAATGATTTCTGTAAAGATAGAAAGAAATGCAGAGCCCAGAGGCAAAGCCCGTGTAATAGAGGGTTAGTTCCAGGTTGTGGATCCTAACCAAGAAATTCCTGCTGGGCTTTGCTCAGCCCCATTTCAAAAAGGTTTTGGATCAGTGACTTCTTTGGTACTTCCACCTTCCCCCTTTGTGAACAAGAATCACTAGAATCGTTTTTCTATGTCTGTCCCACCATTGCACACTGAGGGCAGATAAGCTGTTTGCTGAGTTTAACAGGTTGATAGAGGGAAGGGAATTATGTCAAGGATCTGGACTTAATGGACACCCTCAGAAGCCTCATTCACACTTGGTGTAGATGATTAAGATAAGATTTTAAACTTTTGATCTGATATGGTCTACATAACATTTTTCACTTTGAACTTATGCTTTAATGACATGAAATTTGGAAACCTTAGGGGAGAGGGTGAATGTATTTTGCAGATGGGGGAATGTGAGTGTCTGACTGTGGTAGATGGAATTTCTGAAATGGTCCCCAAACACGCCACACCCTTGTCTCTGAAGCCTGTTAAGGTGAGGAGACATCATTCCTGTGATTATGTTGTTACATGCCAGCTATATGACTTTAAGATGATGAGATTCCCTGTGTAAACTGGATCTTATCACATCGCTGCATACATGCCAGTGGTTTCTCTAGCTGTCAGGAGAAGGTGACGTCACAAAGAATGGGAGCTTGAGAAGGACTCCATGAGCTGTTATTGGTTGGAAAATGGAAAAGGCCGGGTGAGAAGGAACGCAGGTGGCCTCTGGAGTTAGTGTCTCCTGTCCGACAGCCAGCACAGAAACAGAAAACCCAGTCTTTCAACCCCCCCAGAATGAATTCCTCCTACACCTGAAGTGAACTTGGAGAAGCAGCCTGAGCTCCACGTAATTACATAGCCAGACACACCTGGATTCAGCTTCCTAAAACCCTTATCAGAGAACCCAGCCTCTGTTCCAGACTTCTGTGGTTTCAATCCACTACAGCAAAAATCTTGCACTCACCTTTATGCCACTCTTCTGGAGCCCTTGCAACCTGAAGAAGATAACGAGAGGCATTCCAAGCACGTGAGGAGTATCTCTAATGTTACCAGCCAAATTTCTGCAAGAATAAAGATGGTACAATACTAACTCCACATAATCTTATCTGCAAATTCATCATCTATCTCTATTTATAATAGCACATTTTTTTTTTTTTTTTAGCTCCTTCATTTAGGTTTGCCAGACCAGGTTTGGTAGCAACTATCAGTTATCAGTAAAAATGAAACAACTCACAAAGAGCAATGAAAAGGACTATTATTAAGTTCCTCAAAAAAGTGCCTAAAATGCAATATTTCCTCTGAATGTCACAAAACTAAGACAATGAGTCACTATAAAAATTCCCAATCTAAGAAAAGTTGAAATTTAATGATGTCGGTTTTCCAAATTTTTATTTTGTTGGGGCCCAGTCATGGGCATCAGAGATTAGGAAATGACTGTGCAGAGGCTTGAGGGAATTTGGGGAAAGAAAAAATATTCTAGAGTGTGACTCTGCTGATGTCTGCACAATTCTAGAAACCTCCTTAAATGATTACTTCGTAGAGTTAAAACTGGTGAGTTTTATTACAAGTAACTTTGTATTTTTTATTTTTATTTATTTATTTTTTGAGACAGAGTTTCACTCTGTCACCCAGGCGGGAGTGCAATGGCGTGATCTTGGCTCACAGCAACTTCCGCCTCCTGGTTTCAAGAGATTCTCCTGCCTCAGCCTCCTGAGTAGCTGGGATTACAGGCACACGCTACCATGCCTGGCTAATTTTTGTATTTTTAGTAGAGATGGGGTTTCACCATGTTGGTCAGGCTGATCTCGAACTCCTGACCCTGTGATCCACCCACCTCAGTCTCCCAAAGTGCTGGGATTACAGGCTTGAGTCACCACGCCTGGCCATAAGTAACTTTTTAAATGAAATTTCTGGTTTCAACTCTGGCATATAAAAAGGTGGGAAGTCACCATTTGTCCTCACAACAAGACAAAAGCTGAACAAACTGAAAACCAACAACTCTTCTTAGATGGCCAGAGAATTGAGGTCACTGCCACCCTGAAAACTAGAAAGACAGGCAAACACAGGGAGTCACAGCTTGCCAGGAACAGAAGCTGCTGGAGCCAGCACTTGGGAGGAGCACTTAAAAGGTATTGACAGATTACTAGAAGCTGAGGGTGGCCTGGCTTGAGCATTAAAAACTCTCTGAGAACCAGCCATGTGGGGATATCACACTTTCCTAAGTCTGACCACTAGGAACCCAACAAGGTTCTCATGGTGAAGATTAGAAAAAATCCCTGAAAATTGGCTCTGCCAACTTCAGGACACCTGGTAAAGCTACAGTAACCAAAACAGTGTGGAGTTGGTGAAAAAAGGTAAAACAGACTCATAGATCAATGAAACAGAAAACAGAGCCCAGAAATAGACCTACATAAATATAATAAACTGATCTTTGATAAAGGTGCAAAGGCAATTTAATAGAGCAAGGATGGCCTTTCCAACAAATGCTGCTAGAACCCCTGGACACCCACATGAAAAAATAAATAAATGTACACACACAAATCTTAAAACTTTCACAAATGGATCTTATAACTACATGTAAGGTTCAAAACCACAGGATTCCTAGGAGATAACATGGGAGAAAAGCCAGGTGACCTTGGGTTTGGTGATGATTTCTTAGAAACAGCATTGAAAGCAAAATCCATGAAAGAAACAAAATTGAAAAGTTGAGCTTCATTACAGTTAAAACCTTCTGCCGGCCGGGCGCGGTGGCTCAAGCCTGTAATCCCAGCACTTTGGGAGGCCGAGACGGGCGGATCACGAGGTCAGGAGATCGAGACCATCCTGGCTAACACGGTGAAACCCCATCTCTACTAAAAAAAATACAAAAAACTAGCCGGGCGAGGTGGCGGGCGCCTGTAGTCCCAGCTACTCGGGAGGCTGAGGCAGGAGAATGGCGTGAACCCAGGAGGCGGAGCTTGCAGTGAGCTGAGATCCCGCCACTGCACTCCAGCCTGGGCGACAGAGCGAGACTCCGTCTCAAAAAAAAAAAAACAAACAAACAAAAAAACCTTCTGCTGTGTGAAAGACACTGTTAAGAGAATGAAAAAACAAGTTACAGACTAAGAGAAAATATTTGCAAAATACAGATCTGATGAAGGGCTGGTGTCCAAAATAAATGAAGAACTTCAAACTCAATAATATGAAAGTGAACAACCCAATTTAAGAGTAGGCAAAAGATCTGAACACCTCACCGAAAAGATGTACAGATAGTAAATAAGTAAATGAAAGAGATACTCAAATTCATTTGTCATTAGAAAATTGCATATGAAAACAATGAGATAACAGAACACACCTATTAGACTGACTAAAATCTGTAAAAGGTGACAGTCCCAAAAGCTGTCAAACAGGGCTATAGGAATTGTTGGTAGATATGCAAAATGGTAAAAAATTGCGTATGAAAAAAATGAGATAACAGAACACAGCTATTAGAGTGACTAAAATCTGTAAAAAGTGACAATCCCAAAAGCTGTCAAACAGGGCTATAGGCATTGTTGGTGGAGATGCAAAATGGTACAATCACTTTGGAGAACAGTTTGGGAGTTTTTGTTGTGTTTTGTTTTGTTTTTTTCATTTACAAAGCCAAACATAGTCTTACCCTATAATTTTGCAATGGCAGTTTGACCTATTTAGCCAGATGCGAGGAAGGCTTGTGTTCACCAAAAACCTGCACACAAGTATTTACAGCAGTTTTATTTATTATTGTCAACAACTTGAAGTAACCAAGATGTCCTTCTCAACAAGTGAATGGATAAACAAATTGTGTTGTATCCATACAATGGAATATTAGTGATGAAAAGAAATGAGCTTTTTCATATCCTTTGCACACTTTTTGATGGGGTTGTTTGTTTTTTTCTTATAAATTTGTTTTGAGTTCTTTGTAGGTTCTGGATATTAGCCTTTTGTCAGATGAGTAGATTGCAAAAATTTTCCCCCATTCTCTAGGTTGCCTGTTCACTCTGATGGGATTTTCTTTTGCTGTGCAGAAGCTCTTTAGATTAATTGGATCCCATTTAAATGTCTATTTTGGCTTTTGTTGCCATTGCTTTTGGTATTTTAGACATGAAGTCCTTGCCCATGCCTATGTCCTGAATGGTATTACCTAGGTTTTCTTCTAGGGTTTTTATGGTTTTAGGTCTAACATTTAAGTCTCTAATCCATCTTGAATTAAGTTTCATATAAGGAGTAAGGAAAGGATCCAGTTTCAGCTTTCTACTTATATGGATATGAACAGACACTTCTCAAAAGAAGACATTCACACAGCCAACAGACACATGAAAAAATGCTCATCATCACTCGCCATCAGAGAAATGCAAATCAAAACCACAATGAGTTACCATCTCACACCAGTTAGAATGGCAATCATTAAAAAGTCAGGAAACAACAGGTGCTGGAGAGGATGTGGAGAAATAGGAACATTTTTAAACTGTTGGTGGGACTATAAACTAGTTCAACCATTGTGGAAAACAGTGTGGGGATTCCTCAAGGATGTATAACTAGAAATACTATTTGGCCCAGCCATCCCATTACTGGGTATATACCCAAAGGATTATAAATCACACAGCTGTAAAGACACATGCACACATATGTTTATTGCAGCACTATTCACAATAGCAAAGACTTGGAACCAACCCAAATGTCCATCAATGACTGACTGGAGTAAGAAAATGTGGCACATATACAACATGGAATACTATGCAGCCATAAAAAAGGATGAGTTCGTATCCTTTGTAGGGACATGGATGCAGCTGGAAACCATCATTCTCAGCAAACTGTTGCAAGAACAGAAAACCAAACACTGCATGTTCTCACTCATAGGTGGGAATTGAACAATGAGATCACTTGGACACAGGAAGGGGAACATCACACACTGGGGCCTGTTGTGGAGTGGGGGGAGGGGGGAGGGATAGCATAAGGAGATACACCTAATGTAAATGATGAGTTAATGGGTGCAGCACACCAACATGGCATATGTATACATATGTAACAAACCTGCACGTTGTGCACATGTACCCTAGAACATAAAGTATAATTAAAAAATAAAAAAAGGAAGAAAGTGGCCATTCTTTTAAACCATTATACTGGCCGCTGCACCATGTTTTCCCATCCTGGACACTCTGGAGGGCAGCGTCTACAGCCATACCCATCTCCCTACCCAGGACAGTGCAGCAGCATTAGTTTGGGGGATGCCAGTGGGCAGGGAAGGGGTGAACCATGAAAGCTGAACAGGAGAAAACAGGTGGAAGGGGGCAGCAGGGTGGAAGCAGAGAGAGAAAATAAAGGTGGGGTAGAGAATGGGGGGCTTCGAGGGGAAAAGAGAGAGAGAGAGAGAAGCAGATCTAGCCACAAAGGAAGGAAAAATCCAGAAGAGAACATTTGTCTGCTAAAGTAAAATAACTTACACCTAACCAGGTGCAAGGGCACTGCAGGTCGTGGGTGGCATGCCCTGGTCATGCTGTGATGTTTAGGGGCCATGACATCTACCCTTTGAATCCGAATCATAATAGAGGGGACTCTGTCCCTATCTAGCTGGCAATGCCTTGTGATTTTCCCTTTCGGATCTGGCAGCTCTCCACATCTGCTCACTTTGTGGGAGGCAGCTCTTGGCACACCAGATCAGGACGATTCAAAAACCAGAGCCTTGGAGACTTCACTGGGAACCCTGGGCAGTAGTAGCTGGTGGCATCCAGAGGGTGGAGTCCAAGAGGTAGCAGCGCTGAGGCTCCACACACCCTCAGGAGGACAGTAAGGGGTAATCTCTTGGTGAGCACCTACTTCCCCAGGAACCTCCGCCTAGGTGGAAATGGGCCCCATGCCCAGCTTTTCTCTGGACAGGCCCTAGCCAGGCATCCAGGGTACCAGCTGAGTCCTGGGCAATGCAAATGCCTGTGTGCTGACCTTGTGGTGGCTGGAAGGGGTCCAGTTTCTGGGACCCCTTCCACTTGGAACTGGACTTGCAAAGACAATGACTCCTGCTGCTTTCAATTTCCTTGGACTTTGGCAATGAGATTTATCCTTTTGGAATGGGAACATGACTCTTTTGGGTCACCCAAGGTATGGGGTGGCCTTGGATCTGCCAGTCCTCCCCAGGCCTCAAGGACTGGCTGATGTTCATCGTCTAGGTTGCTGTCACCGCACTCACACTCCCCAGCAAAGATCCCCCAAAGTGTCCTGACTAGAAACATATTCCTCAACTTCCTCTCAGACTGTGATAGCCAATTCTTCTGTTAGTGTAGGCTGCGTGTGGGAGGCTCGTGGTGGGTAGGGTGGGAGCCTACAGAAGGAAGAGGAATGGTAGCCAAGAAGGAACAGAGGAGAGGGAGGCAGGAAGTATGGAGAGCTGGAGGGGGCTGGGGAAAATGGGTGTGGGGGTAGTGTGAGGAAGACAGGGAGCAGGAGAGAGAGGGGATTGGAAACAGAATGAGAGGTGGAGGAGAAAGAGGAGGAGAAGAAGGCAGAATAAGAAGGGCGGAAATTTCAGCATATTCCAAATCTTGTTCCGGAAATGGTCATCAGTGCTCCATGGATAAAGGGAAAAGGAGAGTTGCAAAGAGAAGGAAACCCCAGCGGGTAGGGGGTCTTGGCAGAATGTTTATTTCAGGGCAGGAAACTCTGGCAACCCAGGCAGAACTGGTGGCTTTAGTGGAGGCCTAAATATAGCTCTTCCCTGTCCCTAATCCGGAAAGGAGATTAATCTCATTCTCTGAGATAGAAACCTAAAGAGAAGATCAGAGAGACATAAGTCTGGGGCGACTCTTCCTATTGTTAGGCAGGGACCCAGACCTGACATGGCGGCGCCACTCGGCGTAGCAGGCCCTTTGTTCAAGGGGGCCCTTTGTTTCCAGACTTCCCTCCCTCTTTGAACACACCCTCAGACTCACATACATCAGAGGTTCCAGCTGGGCAGTCACACTCCCCCATGACCTGCAGCTCACCTGCATTCCACAAGTTCCTAAACAGAGTTTCAGTTGACAGTTTCCAAAGACCCCTTCCTCATGACCCTTACTCAACTCCTGCCCTAGTAGTTTCAAGACCCCCCAGGCCCTGTTTGCACAACCAGCTTCCCTACCTCTCAGGCTATAAGAAGCCCCTACCCTCCTCCCTCAGCCCACACCTTTGGACGGAGGAAACTCGCCCGCAAGCCCTAATAAAAGGCTATTCTCACTGCCATTTGCCTTGTGTCTTTGTTCCTGGTTCGGCTCCAGCCTCAGTTTACCTTTACATTTGGTGCCAAAACCCGGGAGGAGACCCCCTCCCTGGACCCCTGCCGGGTCGGGCAGGCTCTCCTCTCCCCGAGCCAGGACCTCCTTTCCGAGTCGGGAGCCGTTTCACCAAATCCAAGACTCAATTCAATCACTGCTAGGTAAGCTCCCCCCCCGTCCTGAAGGCTCCCTCCGGGAGTCCCTCTACGAAATGCACGGCTGCGTCAGGGGCTCTCTCCAGTCAGCTGTGACCTCGGCACCGGGGACTAGGAGACATCCAACCTCCCCGGAAGCCACCGTACCCCGCACTCCGCGTGGCAGTGGGAGGACGCTCCCATTGCCTCTGGACTGCCTGCCTTGAGACCATGGGAACTACCCAGTCCAAACCAAACCAAAAATCTCCTCTGGGGTGCCTCTTGGCGAATCTCCAGACTTTAAGCCTCAGCCAAGACATAAAACGAAAGCGGCTCATTTTCTTCTGCACAATAGCATGGCCACAATATAAATTGGATAATCAGTCTCAGTGGCCTGCAGAAGGCACTCTAGACTTTAACATTCTCACAGATCTGACCAACTTCTGCAAGAGACTAGGCAAATGGTCCAAGATACCCTATGTTCAGGCCTTTTGGGACTTGCGTTCTCACCCAGATCACTGCGCCCAATGCTCGTTAGCTCAAGTTCTGCTCGCAAAGTCTCTTCCCTTGAGCAAGGAGAAGGATGATTCCTCCCCTTTTTCTGAGCCTCCTGACACCCTATCCCGGCCACCCCTCCGGTCTCCTGCCCAACATCCTCCTTACCCTGACCCACCGTTATCCCCATCCTCGTCAACGCCTCCCCACCCTTCCCCCCATCCTGTGCCCTTACCAAACCCAACAGATTCTGTCTCCCCTACCTCCACCTCCTCCCCTTCCTCGCCTGTCTCAGCCCATACTCAGTCCAGGACCGACCTGTGTCCCTTACAAGAGGTAGCAGGCGCCAAAGGAGTAGTCCGGGTCCATGTGCCGTTTTCATTGGCAGACTTGTCTAAGGTTGATGAGCGTGCAGGCTCCTTTTCGGCCAATCCTACTGGTTATATCAAAGAGTTTAGGTATCTATGCCAGGCATATGATCTCAGCTGGCATGACCTTCATGTCGTCATGACCTCAACCCTGTCTCCCGAGGAGCAGGAACGCATCCTAGTGGCAGCCAGGCAGCATGCTAACCAGGTTCATTTAACTGACCCTGCCATGCCAGTCGGCACCGAGGCAGTGCCCTCGGCTGAGCCCGACTGGGACTACCAGGTGGGGCAGGCAGGCCGCCGCCGCCGAGACATGATGGTTCAGTGCCTTCTTGCCGGCATGCAGGCAGCCTCTAACAAATCAGTCAACTTTAACAAACTAAAGGAGGTAGTCCAAGGCGCAGATGAAAATCCGGCCGTTTTTCTTAACCGGCTGACTGAGGCACTTATTCAGTACACCTGCCTTGACCCTGCCTCCCCCGCAGGGCGGACCGTCTTGGCCTCATATTTCATTTCTCAGTCAGCCCCCGATATCCAAAAAAAGTTAAAAAAGGCGGAGGACGGCCCTCAAACTCCCATCCAGGACTTAGTCAAACTGGCCTTCAAGGTCTACAACTCCAGGGAGGAAGCAGCTGAGGCCCAACAACAGGCCAGGCTAAAACAGAAGGTACAACTCCAAACCCAGGCTTTGGTAGCAGCCCTGAGGCCGGCCGGCTCCAGGAGTTCCCAGAAAGGAGGTACTACCCGAGCGCCACCTGGTGCCTGCTTCAAGTGCGGCAGTGATGGCCACTGGGCCAGGCAGTGCCCTAACCCAAAGGAGCCAACCCATCCCTGTCTGAACTGTCAGCAGATGGGCCACTGGAAGTCAGACTGCCCCGACCTAAGGACGGTCGCTGTGCCTCCACGGGACGACCCTCCTCCATGTATTGGAGGCGCCTTCCAGCTCCTCGACATCGATGAAGATTGAAGAGGCCCAGACTCGGGGACCCCTCTCACTCTCGCCAAGCCCAGGGTCATGCTCCAGGTAGCGGGTAAGTCCATATCCTTCCTTATGGACACGCGGGCTACCTACTCTGTTTTGCCTTCCTTCAGTGGCCCCAGCCACCCCTCCACTGTCACAGTCATAGGAATTGATGGCAGTCCCTCCACCTACTGCCAGACTCCTCCTCTGTCTTGCTGCCTGGATGGCTCCCTCTTCTCACACTCATTTCTTATCATTCCTTCGTGCCCAGTCCCCTTGTTAGGATGGGATCTCCTCTCCAAGCTAGGGGCCTCAGTTCACTTCCGACCCAATCCCTCCCCACACCTCGCGTTCCTCTTTCCCCTTCTCTCACCTGACAAACCCCGCCAGGCTGACCCCCGACTCCTGTTTCCAGTCCCCATTAACCCTAAGGTGTGGGACACCTCCACCCCGATCATTGCCCAGCACCACACTCCGGTCCGCATCCGGCTAAAAGACCCTTCCAAGTTCCCTTCTAGACCCCAGTTCCCTATCTCCCTTGAGCATCCACGGGGATTAAAACCTATCATTACACGCCTGCTCCAACAGCACATTCTAGTTCCAGCCAACTCACCATGCAATACTCCTATCCTGCCTGTACAGAAAAGCTCTGGGGCCTCTCGTCTCATGCAGGACCTACGCCTCATCAATGAGGCAGTGGTCCCTACCTTTCCAGTTGTTCCTAATCCATATACACTCCTCTCACGCGTTCCCCCTGACACCACACATTTCACTGTCCTTGACATAAAAGATGCCTTCTTTACCATCCCTCTACACCCAGACTGCCACTTTCTGTTTGCCTTCACATAGGAGGACCCAGACACTCATGTTTCTTCCCAGTTGACCTGGACTGTCTTGCCTCAAGGGTTCCGAGATAGCCCCCATTTTTTCGGCCAGGCACTGGCACAGGACATCCTCCTCTGCCCCCTAACTCATAGCACCCTTCTACAATACGTAGATGATCTATTACTATGTAGTCCTTCCTGGGAGTGCTCCCTTGCAGACACTGCTACACTTCTAAATTTTCTAGGCAACGGAGGTTATCGGGTTACCCCGGCTAAGGCTCAACTTTGCACCCCTTCTGTCACCTACCTAGGCATACTACTCACACCCACTACAAAAAGCCTTACGGCAGATAGAATAAGCCTCATTAAAACTCTCCAGCCTCCTCAGGATGCGGAAGAGATCTTGTCCTTCCTAGGACTGGTACGGTATTTCAGGCATTGGATTTCCAACTTCGGGGTCCTAGCCAAGCCCCTCCACCAGGCTGCCAGGGAGACACCCACCAGACCGCTGTCTGACCCCTCCTTGGTTGCCGACTCTTTCAAGAAGCTTCAGGACTGTCTTCTTTCTGCCCCTGCTCTCTCTCCCCAACCCCCTTTAGCCCTTTCATCTATTCACTGAGGAGCACCAGAAGGTAGCTACTGGCCTCCTAGCCCAGCCGGTTGGATCCACATACCAGGTTGTGGCTTATCTCTCCAAGCAGTTAGATCCCACAGTCCAGGGCTGGCAACCTTGTCTACGAGCCCTGGCGGCTGCCACAGAACTTACCCAAGAGGCCCTCAAGGTTACCCTAGGACATCCTCTCACAGTCTACTCTTCTCACCGACTGTCAGATCTCAACACACACAAGTGTCTCAGCCATCTTACCCCCTTCCGGCTTCAACAGTTCCACTTGCTATTCATTGAAAGCCCTCACATCACTCTCACCACCTCACCCCCTCTAAATCCTGCTACTCTCTTGCCCACTCCAGGACACAATTCCGCCCCTGCACATTCCTGCCTGGAAGTTCTCACCACCTTGCCACCCGCCTGCCTCGGTCTTTCCGAACAGCCGTTAGAACACCCAGAGCATACCCTGTTCGTAGATGGGAGCTCTGTCTTAACCCCCGATGGCCGCAGACAGGTGGCATATGCTGTCGTAACAGCAACACAAATGGTTGAAACCAGGTCCTTGCCTCTAGGCACCACCTCCCAGAAGGCTGAACTCACTGCCTTTACACGTGCCTTACTTCTCTCCGAAGGGCAGAGGGTTAATATCTATACAGACTCTAAATATGCTTACCTTATTGCACATACTCACTCCACTCTCTGGCAAGAGCGCAGGTTTCTTACCACCAAAGAGATGCCAGTAGTCAATGGACCACATATAAAGAGATTGCTTGATGCTCTCCAGGCCCCCAAAGAAGTAGCCATTATCCACTGCAAAAGCCACCAGCATTCTAAGGACTCTGTGTCACAAGGTAACAGCCTAGCTGACTCCACCGCACGGGCCACTGCCCTCACTTCCCTCCCTCCCCGAGCGCCTTTACTCTTTCTTTCCCCCGCATATTCCCCCGACTACTCTTCTCAAGAACTTCAAACCCTGATGGCCCACCCCAGTGTTACCCGGAACAAGGTAACAAGGATGGGGTATTGACAGCCGAATAGCACTCCCTCAGACTCAGGCAGTACATATACTGACCGACATACACCGCTCTCTCCACATAGGACCCAAGGCTATGTATAACTTCCTAGAACCCATCTTTCACCTTCCCTCACTACAGGCCCAAATTAAGAAAGTACATCAACAATGTGCCACCTGTTCGGCCACTAACCCCCAAGGTAGGCTCAGACACCCAGGGCCTACTCATCAGCTAAGAGGCCACCAGCCAGGAGAAGATTGGCAACTTGATTTTACTCACATGCCCCGACATAAAAAATGTTGCTACCTGCTGACCTTAGTTGACACCTTCTCAGGATGGATTGAGGCTTTCCCCACCACTCGAGAGACTGCAGAAGTCGTGGCAACTATTCTCCTAGAGCACATCATCCCCAGGTTCGGTCTCCCCCGAACCATCCAATCAGACAATGGTCCGGCTTTCATTTCCAAACTCACCCAGCAGGTGGCAGCCGCACTCCAGATTACCTGGAAGCTCCACATTCCCTACCATCCGCAGTTGTCTGGTAAGGTATAACGCGCAAACCGCCTTCTTAAACTGCATCTAACCAAGCTCACTCTAGAAACCCGCCTCTTGTGGATAACTCTCCTTCCTCTGGCTCTTACTCATCTCAGGGCAGCTCCTCGGGCCCCCACAGGGCTCAGCCCTTTTGAGCTACTGTACGGACGCCCGTTCCTCTTCCAGGAGCTGCCAGCCCTCTCCCCTCCCTTAGGCTCCTACTTCCCTTACTTAACCCTCCTATGCGAGCTTCTAAGAAAACATGCAGACCGGTGTCTCCCCACATCGGTTTCCCCAAACCTTAAAAATCCCGCTGTTGTAGCACCAGGAGACCTGGTACTGGTCAAGCAGCTGCAGCCCCGAGCCTTATCTCCCTGGTGGGAAGGACCATATACCGTAATCCTTATCACGCCCACTGCTGCCAAACTCCTCAGCCTTCCCTCCTGGTATCATCTGTCCCAGCTGAAAAAAACACCCACCCAGCATGATTCCAGGTGGACGGCTCAGGCTGTTGTCCCTACTAAACCACGACTTATGCGTGCCAGTAACGACCCTCTGCCTAACCTTCCTCAGCTATCCGGTGCTCCTGAGCCTAGGTAAGACTCCTACCCAAACTCCCCTCTCTCCCCCGTCAACCCATTCCGCTGGAGATTCTATCTGTCAGAGCCCTGGACCCAAAACAATCACATAAGTTCCCTCATCTTAGCCACAGTTGACTGCCGACCCCAAGGGTGCCAGAGTCAAGTTACCTTTAACTTCTCCGCCTTTAACAGTTGCCCTGACTGGTGGAACCCAGTCATATGCTTTCTCTATGATCAAGTAGAATATAACTGTCTCAATTACTGGGTAGAAACCAATGGCGGGTGTCCATATCATTATTGTAACATGCATTTTACTTACCTTGACATGTCATACACCAAGTGGCAGCAACCGGCATCAACAGTTCGGTTAGTCAGATCATACGGACGAGGAGAAGTGCCTACATTCTTCCTTACCATTCCTGACCCGTGGGACCCTCGGTGGGCATCAGGTATAGAGGCTCGCCTTTACCGGCACGGCTACGAATCTTATCCCGTAGCCCGACTCAAGATTTATAGGGCCTATGTCAGGGTCACAAGCAGCCTCGTCAGTCTGGCCTCCAACATCAAACAACAAGAAAAAGTCATCTAAGCTCTAGCCAACCCAGACAACACAGTCAACTAAGACAACAAGCCTCAGGGCAGCGGTAACCCGTTTTCTTGGCTAACCCTAGTCAGAGAAGGGGCCCAGGTAGTACATATGGTCGGAGTGCACAACATCTCCCGTTGTTTCTTGTGTGCAGCATTTAATAAGCCCCCACTGGTTGCGGTACCTTTACCTAGCCCTTTTAACTCCTCTAACCTAACCCCCTCCTTTCCCCTTCCCTGCCAAGCCCTGAGGGAAGTTCCTTTGTTCCAAGACCCGCTTAGACAACAACTCCCCTTTTGCTACTCCACCCCTAATGCTTCCTGGTGCAACCGGACAGGATCGGTGCCTCCAAATCTCACCGCCCCCCCAGGCGAGTATTTTTGGTGCAACTCCACCCTGTCAAAAACTCTCAAGGCTTCCGACACTACTCTATGCCTTCCCATCTCCCTAGTTCCCAGCCTCACCCTGTACAGTGAAGCGGAGCTATCCTCTCTTCTGCCCCTTGCCCGCCCCCGCCAGGCAAGAGCAGTATTCCTTCCGCTAATGATTGGAGTCTCCTTAGCCGCATCCTTCGTGGCCTCTGGCCTTGGAACTGGAGCCATAACTCATCCTGTCCCATCCTCTCAAGATCTTTCAGCCCGATTACAGGTAGCAATCGAAGCTTCGGCAGAATCCCTGGCTTCCCTCCAACGACAGATCACCTCAGTGGCCCAGGTGGCAGCCCAGAATCGCAGAGCACTCGACCTCCTTATGGCTGACAAAGGCGGGACCTGTATGTTCCTTAATGAAGAATGCTGCTACTACATCAATGAGTCAGGACTAGTAGAAACCAACCTCCTCACTCTAGAAAAAGTCCCAGAAGGACTCCACAAAAAAACCTCAGGATTAGAGTCTTCATTCGGGTGGTGGCAGTCGTCCATGGCTAGCTGGGTCCTACCCTTCCTAAGCCCCTTACTAATCATTGGCTTCTTACTGCTCAGAGCTCCCTGTATCATCCGCTTCATCCAGAACCGCATAAAAGAAGTCTCCTGGATCACTTTCAATCAGATGCTGCTCCACCCCTATACCCGAGTTCTGACCTCCGAAAAACCCCACTACGACCCAAAACAGCAGGAAGCAGCCAGATGAACAGGTCGCCCGTTTTTCTTATTAGAAAGAGGTAGGAATGTTAGGCAGGGACCCAGACCCGACATGGCGGCGCCACTTGGCGTAGCAGGCCCTTTTTTCCAGCGGGCCCTTTGTTTGGAGACTTCCCTCCCTCTTTGAACACACCCTCAGACTTACATACATCAGATGTTCCAGCTGGGCAGTCACACTCCCCCATGACCTGCAGCTCACCTGCATTCCACAAGTTCCTAAACAGCAGTTTCGGCTGACAGTTTCCAAAGACCCCTTCCTCATGACCCTTACTCAACTCCTGCCCTAGTAGTTTCAAGACCCCCCCAGGCCCTGTTTGCACAACCAGCTTCCCTACCTCTCAGGCTATAAGAAGCCCCACCCTCCTCCTTCAGCGCGACTTCCTCCGCCCACACCTTTGGACGGAGGAACCTCGCCCGCAAGCCCTAATAAAAGGCTATTCTCACTGCCATTTGCCTTGTGTCTTCGTTCCCGGTTTGGCTCCAGCCTCGGTTTACCTGTACACCTATTGTAGATTAAAGGTACTCAAGTCCTGTGTGGCAAGGAGAAAAGAATACCTGCAAAGGAAATTCTGGTGACTATGGAGGCTTGCCAAACGTCAATAACTGAAAACATTCCAAACATCCGGTTCTAGGGGCTAATGGCGAGCGCTCTGGACTCTGAATCCAGCGATCCGATTTCGAATCTCAGTGGGGTGTTGCTTTCACTGGTGTTTTACTCTGGAGCCAGAAGCCCCACTGGGAAGCAAACTCCTGCCTCAAAGACAAAGTGAAAGGGATGTGGTTTACATTTGCCCTTCTGCTAAGTCCTGGGTGAGAGAAGAGAAAGGAAGGTTTGGGTCCCAGGGAAGGAAGCTCTGCTGCTGCAGGCACCCTCGTCCCTCCTGCTCCCGCCTCGCAATGCGTCCGGTAGGATGTCCCTCCTCCTCTCCCGTCCCCCCCCTTGAGGGGTCCGGGTCCCAGAAACCGGCTTCTCACAGGGGTCTGGTCCACAGGGAAATTGCCCAAACACCCAATGGTAGTCACCAATTCAGGTCCCAGTCCTGGGCGAGCCTCCTGGCCCCCTGCAATCCGAGGCCCGGACCCCGCAGCCAGTGCCCCAATAACCGAACAAGTCCCCACCCACTCTCAGGGCGACCCTGGGCCTGGGGGTGAGAGGTCTCCTCCACTAAAAAGGCTGCCGCCCCTCAATCCTAGACCCCGACGTTCCTTTCACTCGGGACATCTCCTAATCTTGTCATTTTGGTAAGTAATCGGTGGGGTGAAAATTTTTGATGGGGTTAGCTCAGTCATTGGTGATTGCGTCTCAGTTTAGGGTCAATGGTTTGAGACCTAATTTAGGAGTAACACTGTTTTATTCAGATGGCCCATCCTATTCCGAATGTTAATTCTCTGTTCTTCATACTCAGATTTCCATGAGCCGAATCCAAAGTGTTCTGCCAAGCAGAAGAAAGGATTTTTGCATCTGTCTTGTCCTGAGGTGTCTTCTCCTTGGGGAGAGGTCCTGGCGGGACCAGGGGGAGCCCCATCGTCCCGCACTCATCCCTCGGAGCTGCTCAGGCTCCTTTAACCCGTGGCCCCGCGGGAGCCCGGCCTGGCGACCAAGGATCAGAACCCGCGCTCCCAGCCCGGGCGCTTGAAGAAGCCGCCACGCGGATTTCTTTTTCCGGCTGAAATCTTGGGCCGAAAGAATGAGATTTCCCGTACAACCTAAGGCGGTGAATAAAATGCCTTTTTATTGAGCTGCAAAAGAGGCCGCAGTTTCATCAGCAATGTTTTCCTTTCTTTTTCTTTTTCTTTCAGAGACAGTGTCTGGCTCTGTAGCCCAGGCTGGAGTGCAGTGGTGCTACCATAGCTCACTGCAGCCTCGAACTCCTGTGCTTAAGTGATCCTCCTGCCTCAGCTCCTGGGTCACTGGGATTACGGATTACAGGCCAGAGCCACCATGCCTGGTTTTCATCAGCAATGTTTCCTGAGGTTACAGAAAGATTTGTAATCCTGGGAGGAAACACTCCCTTGAAGCAAAAGTGTTCTCCCCTCAAAAATGCAAGGAGCTATCTTCTTGATAGCCAGGCAGATAATTCTCAGGTTTTGCCCCCCAGAATCTCTATCTAAAATACAGCAGTGGTCATGCCTAGTGAAAAATTTGAGGGAACTCGCCCAATGTGGGGTTTCTTCAGATATATATATATATGACCAAATATCCTAAAAGATACTTCCTTCCATCATTCCATGCTGTTAGACATTTATAGGACCATGGATGGTGATCTTCTCCACACAAAAATAAATGCTGGTGCAGAACAGGTAAGTGTACTTTAATTCGAGTACATCAGCTTTTGTCATTTTAAACTGTGGGTAAGACACGTTGGAGCAAGAGGGCAGGTTGATAACAAGAGGGAGTGTTTTTCTTTTAATTTTCTAATAGCAAAGTGATGTTTCCACTGTCATTTCAGAGTGAGGTGACAATTTGTTGTTGTTGTTGTTTGGTTTTGTGGGATTTGTTTGTTTGTTTGTTTTTGAGACAAGGTCTCACTGTCGCCCAGGCTGGAGTACAGTGGCACGATCATGGTTTACTTCTGCCTTGACCTCAGAAATTCAAGCAAACCTCTTTGCTAATCCTCCCGAGTAGCTGGACTACAGGCAGGTGACACCACACCCTGGGGTGTGAACTGGGATTTGATGTTTTCAGTTGGCTCCTTAATGGAATAGGTTCCCTTACTATTCTGGAATAGAGATTGTCTTCATGATTGTCATTCTCATGTGCATTATATTTCTACTACCCTGCTAATTTTTTTCTTTTTTTCTTTTTTCTTTTTGAGATAGGGTCTCGCTCTGTCGCCCAGGCTGTATTGCAGTGGCAGGATCTCAGCTCACTGCAACCTCTACCTCCCGGGTTCAAGTAATTCTTTTGCTTCAGCCTCCTAAGTAGGCACCTGGCTAATTTTTATATTTTTAGTAGAGACAGGGTTTCACTATGTTGGCTGGTCTTGAACTCCTGACCTCAAGTGATCCACCCGCCTCGGCCTCCCAAAGTGCTGGGATTACAGGCATGAGCTACCACGCCTGGTTCTCAAATCATTTGAAGTAAGCAAAGACAGATTTGTCTGGCTTTTTAGTACGTTGCTGAATTATCCTCCAATCTATATTTTTAGGAAGGACCTGGGGAATGGCAACATGGAGATATTTGGCTAAAATATGAGCCATTTCATGTTCTGCTTCAGTCTCTTTTGAAAATCCTTCCAATTTGACTTTTGCAACCAGTTAGTGGCCTTGCCTTTCTCACCAGCATGTGAATTAATTGATAAAGGTCAGAATATTTGGGCTCAAAGGTTTCAAAAGTTAAGTCAAATTTTCTGTCAAACCCTGTACGGATCTTGGAGGATCTTGGAGCCTGCTTAGGAACAGAAGAGCGAAATGTATTTAAATTTAGATCAGGGAAGTCTTTTATAATATTCTTAATTCACGTTTTGGTGAAGCGGTATACACAATGATAGACTCCCCTCTTCCTGTGGGTTTGGGTTTTACCTTGAAAGGGGCTGTCAGAACGGAAGTTTCAGGGAAAGGGCCAGAGCCCTGGGGACTTTCCTCAGGTGATGGTGATGGAAGAAGAGGCAAGGCAGGACAGGAAGGCTCAGGTAAGAAAGACTATGCAGGTGCAGGGGCAGGAGGAGAAGGAGAAGTTGGAGGCGAAAGAGACAAAGCCTCCTCAATATTTCTCATTTCAGAAAACGTGTCAGTTTACCTCCTTCAGCTTACTTCCTCAATGGAGGCAATTTTCTCAGTTCTTTTAGAAATTTGAGAAATTTAGAAATTTCTAGGTCTCATTGGAAGTAAGTCTCCCATTTAATTTGTCTGGTTCTAAAACCAAATTTCTCTATTTGTTTGTTGTTGTTTTTTTGTTTTGTTTTGTTTTGTTTTTGAGACAGTCTCACTATGTCAGCCAGACTGGAGTGCAGTGGTGTGATATTGGCTCACTGCACTCACCGCTTGCTGCATGACAGCCAGCAAGTCGAAGGACAAGGTGTAGGGGCAGGGAAGGTGACATTATTCCAGAAAGCCACCAAACTGAACAGATGGTGAACTAATATACTAAAGAACCATCTTAAATTAATACGATTTTCAAGTTCCTTGTATGTTAGGGAAGGGAGGAAGAAGGAGGTGGTTGAGGTGAAGAGGTCTGACAATGACAGACTTATGAGCTGCAGTGAGAGCCCAAGGGGATGGTGAAAATTCTTTGTTCTTTGTCAGATCACAATGCTCTTATAAATCTTCAACATAACACTGTTACTTGTGCATACAACCTCTTTATCTTCTCAGGAGTCAGTTTGGGGAAGGAATTATTGTCATCTGTGCTTTAAAGTTAAACTGTAAGCTAAATCCCTCCCATGATAGCTTGGCCTATGTGCAGAAATGAGAAAAAGCAGTTAGCCTGAAAGATATCACCACAGGGTAGGAAGGGTTAGGAGTAAAATGCAGTTAGTCATGCTAGTCCTCCTTTTTATTGTTATATATTTAATTCACTTGAATACGTAATTTTAATTTTTTATACTTTTTTTTTTGAGACAGAGTCTCACTCTGTCGCCCAGTCTGGAACAGTGCAGTGGTGCGATCTTGGCTCACTATAACCTCTGCCTCCCAGGTTCAAACAATTCTCCTGCCTCAGGCTTCTGAGTAACTGGGATTACAGGAGCCCGCCACCATGCCCGGCTAATTTTTGTATTTTTAGTAGAGAGAGGGTTTCACCATGTTGGCCAGGCTGGTCTTGAACTCCTGACCTCGGGTTCCCCAAGTGCTGGGATGACAGGCATGAGCCACCTTGCCCAGCCTAACCAAGATTATTAAACCGTTCTAATTTGTCTAAAGAATCAGATTGATTTTTAAAAAATAATGTAATGGGCCAGGTGAGTGGCTCATGCCTGTAATCCTAGCACTTTGGGAAGCCGTAGTGGGCAGATCACGAGGTCAGGAGCTCGAGATCAGCCTGACCTACATGGTGAAACCCCCATGTCTACTAAAAATACAAAAATTAGCCAGCTGTGGTGGTGTGAGCCTGTAATCCCCGCTACTCAGGAGGCTGAGGCAGGAGAATCGCTTGAACCCGGGAGGCAGAGGTTGCAGTGAGCCAAGATTGCACCACTGCACTCCAGCCTAGGTGACAGAGTGAGACTCTGTCTCAAATAAATAAATAAATAAATAATAATAAGATAATGAACTTTTTCATGTCTTTATATATTAAATATTTACATTATTTAAATTATTCAAAAGCATCAAAGATTCCTCTCTGCTATCAGCTTCATTTCATTTATTTCATTGTACCAAACTATCAAGACCATTCATTTAATCTACAGCTAAATCTAGTATTTTTTCATGTTAGAAATTCAACAAGAAAATTTTTCCCTAATGAAACCTCACATTTCAAGCATAAGTAGGCTGGGCGAGGTGGCTCACACCT